ACTTATTCCTATATCTCTTAATAGAATAATTTCTTTACCACTCTTCACATCATATATGAATAAACCATAGCCTCATAAGTAAACTCCTTCAAGAGATCTGGCACTTTCTTCGCAATCAACCTCCAATGAAGTTGTACATTCTGCTGCAGTTTTCTTTAGCTTACACTGTGCTTTCCTTTGCTACTTCAACAAAACATCAATTTCAATCAATGAGGGATAGAAATTGGAGAGAAGAGAAATCCTTATCTGGCAAGGGAAAATGAGATATCATTGAAGACATTAAAGATAGTTTCCTACAGGGTTAAAAGTAATATTTATTCATGGAAAAGGGAAGTTTTAAATCTCAGATGTTTTCACTGTAATGAAGTAGGCCACATGAATTTGCAGTGTTGGTAATTGTTAAAAAGACCTGAGAACATGTACGTGGCAAAAGATGATAAGCCAGTGAGTTTTGTTGAAGTGGTTAAGGAAAGCACAGTGTATATTTAAAGGAAGAGTTGCATCAGAAAGTACAACCTGGTCAGGGATTGGTTGCAAAGAAAGTGTCAGATCTCTTGAAGGAGGTTACTTGTGAGAATATAGTTCATTCATACCTGACGTGAAACACTGGTAAAGAAATTATTTTCTTAAGATTAATGGCAGTTAGTAAGTCTTTGAAGGTGATAGATTAGGAGATATGTAATTCAGAACGAGTATTGCCAGAAACAGTCGTAATGTTTGGAAGTCACGTTGACAAGAGCAGTTGTCCATTATGTAGAATAAGATTGGAGATTCTGGTGAAAAGTGGTGACATGGTCGGAGGAATAATATAACAATTCTTGGTTCCAGGACCCAATATATCCTTGGTAATGGTATAACTGGATGACAGGTGGGAGTGACACCTACACTGATTTAAACGCCGGTGGAAAAGCGGTTAACTGTGGTATTACAAGAAATATATGCTGGGATTTTCCCTGAGTCTGCGGTAACAAGGTCACAAAGACACAGATTGAAGAAGGAGGAGGAATCAAAGAATAAACCTGTGGAAGTTGTCGTTCATTTGTCAGAGACTATATTTGATCAAATGGTTGAGAGAAATAAGAACAGAACAGATGGAGGGAAATGTGACCAGTTCAGAGAAATTAACTGAATTATAATAGAAAGATGAAAAAAATAGTAATGCAGTCGCATCAAAAAGCGTACACAGAAGAAGAATCTGAATGTATCCCAGAATGCCACTACTTTTAAAATGACGTCTTGGTGAGGAAAAGGAGACTCTCTTATACTCAGTTGCATGAGAAATGGGCCAAAGTTCATCATGTTGTATTATTGGTGGGTTAGAGAAAGAAGGTGTTGCAGTTAACAGATAAATCACCAGTAGGAGGTCATTTTCACTGTCTTGGACTGCATAAACAATGTGTTTGAATTTTACCAGACATGTCATGTGTTCAACTAATTGCAAAAGCTCAGTTTTTCCTCATTGAAATTGGATCTGGGATACAACATCTCACACTTACCTTTGAAGTAAGACAAATATTAGGGTTCAGACTACTTTTTCATGTATATATTTATATTTAGCGAGTACAATCTGATCCATAAATGTGCACCAAATTAATCTATCAAATTCATGCATTTGCATTAGTTTTTGGGCATGAGGTGAGAGAACCACTGAAATTAATTAAGGGAAAATCCAGAGTCGGAGTTCAGAGAGAACACATTGCATTAAATTTTATGCAAAGATTAAATGAATCGGGTGAGTTACCCAGGCAGCATTTCAAAGTAGTGCAGTATGTATGAAATAGGAAGAAGACGAGAAATCAAAAACTTACATTTTTGATAGTAGACATAATGTGTTAGTCTGACTTCCAGTGGTAGCTGAAAGTTTAAAAGGAGTGTTTAGTGGGACTTATCAAATCTAAAGTAAAATAAGTAAGGTCAATTATTTGATGAGAACGTCAGACAGAAAGAAATCTCACAGCGTCATGTGAATAGGCTCCAAAGGTATTTTGGTAAGGATGAAAAGCAAAAAGTGAATAGGTTAATTGTTACAACACAGAGTGAAGAACCAAATTCGGATGATTCTGCTATTTGGAGGTCCCGCAAATTAAGTTGGACAATGAGGAAGTTCTCAAAACTGGGCTAAATTATTGAATTAGTTACATGATTAATCAATAGTTTCTCCAAATTTTGTGTTCCTTTCCTACCGTAATATCTTTTGGGCATATTTGCATGACACACTCTGTGAGATTTTCCAGTGGAAAGTCGAAATTATCCTCACAAGTTACTACAATCACTAGGGGAGATATGTGGGAACAAGATGGGAAGTACTAATCTTAATTACACATATTCCAGATACCAGAAGTTCTGATCAGGTTAAGCGACATCCTTACAGACTTATCCATCTAAAGTTGGCACACATTCAAAAAGAGATTGAATGCATACTCAAAGACAACATAATCAAAGCGAATCACAGCGACTGCAGCTCACACTTAATAATGGTGCAAAAACCAGATGGTATTCAATGATTATGTGTGGACGATCGCAAAGTCAATGAAGTTAAAAAATCTAATTCATAACCTGTTGCACGTTTTGAAAACTGTATTGAGAAGGTAGGACAAGCAACTGAGATTTTAAAAATTGGACTTACTCAGTGGATACTGGCAAGTACAGTAATATTATTTAAAGGATCGAGAGAATGCATTGCTTTCATGACACCGAATTGACTGTACCAGTTAGTCATGCCATTTGGTTTAAAAAAACAGCAGCCACATTTCAAAGCCCAACCAATAAGGTCATTTTGGCCTTAGCCAATTGTGTGGTGGACAGCAACGACCAACTCATTTTTAGCTGCACATGGATGGAACACTTGCAGCATGCATGGAAGTGTTTTCAACTGCTTTCGGGAAGAGGGAATGCTGATAAAACTGACTAAATTTGAGCTCGCAAAACCCAAGTCACGTTCTGGAGCCATGTCAATGGTCGTGGACAGATGGCCCTACGGCATGTGACAACAAAGGATTTTCGAGAGTTTCTTGTACCATTGACGAAGAAGGCAATACTATTATTTCTGGGATTGAGCATTTTTTAATCAGAAGTTCATACCGAATTTTAGCAGTGTGCTTGCGCACCTGACTGACCTATTGAAGAAATGCAGAATATTTCACTGGATGGCAGACTGTCAGAAGGCATTTGACAGCCTGGAAGCTGAGTTAACCATTGTTCTAGTGTTACCCACAGCTAATTGCAAAAATCCATTCAGAGTGGCTATCCATGTGAGTGATGTGGGAGTCAGTGCTGTACTTTTGCACGAACATGACGGGAAGTTAGAAGCATCTATTTGATATTTTATTCAACAAATTGAATAATTATTAACAGAAATATTCTACAATTGAGAAGGAGACCTTACGCTCAGTGTTAGTGTTGCAACATTTCAACATTTACATTGCCAATAATGTTCCTGAGACAATTGTATATACTAATCATAACCTGTTAAAGTTTTTTGAGAAATTTAACGACAAAAATCCCTGACTGTTTAGAATGGCACTTACTGTTGCAGCTGCTCAATGTGAAAAATAGATAAATACGTAGCAGGACGAGTGATTATAATTGCTGTGACTTTGATGAAGGAGACGTTCGGTGAATGAAATAAAAGCAGACTGAAAATGACTGTATTAGTGAATGTTTGCAAGCTTAGAATAATTGTTCTGTGCATGTATTGTGTACTAATAGAGTAAGACTAAGAGTTTTGTTTTTAAGTGAAGCCATCTTTGTATGCTGATGCTTCATTTTTTTAAAGGGGTGTTGTGTGGTGATACAGTGGCTTTAAAGTGGTGTTTTGTTTAAAAACAAAAATAAAAAAGAGCTTTTTTTAGGTAGATGTGCCGGGCACATTCCAAGAACCATTAGAGTAAAAGGCTTGTGAGGCCTCAGGGACTTTTGTTTAGAGTTGGAACAATAGAAGCAGCCTGATTTGGTCTCTTCAAGCTCCTAGAGAATCAAGACTTTTAGTTTTAGCTTCCAGCAGTTGCTGTTGGGGTCTTGAAGAAATGGAAGCTATTTTTTCACTGTCTTGATCACCGCCAAAAGCTGGGAGTTCTCTTCCTGCTACTGGAGTTCGATGCGAGACAATCTGTCTCCTGAATTTGCCTTTTCCCAAATGGATTTACATGGGATGTTACCATATTAGAGCAGGTCATTTATGAGAGCTAGGTTATTCCAATTCCTTCCTTCCTTGTTGCTGTATTTGCTTTAAATCCGGTTGTTTGAACAAAGGAATTGCATCTGGAATGCAATACCTTACATTTACCTTTAAAATAAGAAAAAGCTAGGATCTTGACTCTTTTCTAAATACTTTAGAGGGTTTGTTCTCGTAATTTTACTCATCTCCAAATGAATGTTTATTCTTATGGAATGTTCTATTGATGAGACTCGTGGCTCTAAGATAGACTCATTACAAAAGCATGGATGGTGCATCAGGCTGGAACGTCTGAATGATCCACTCGTGCAACTTTTCTTAAGCTCTTGTAGAATATTTTTGCTAAGATATCGTAGTAAACTTTACAGTTACATGGGCTCAGACGTTTCTTAGCTACTAAAGGTCAATGAGCAACCAAACGGTGTGAAGCATAAGATGTTGCATATGTGCACGTGAGAGAGTGTCTTAGAGATAGAGGGTTAGTTATTGGTGACAAGGATTCATAGGAGATGAACTGTTTCACATGCTAGAATTTCTGTCTTCACTAACTTTCGGTAATTAATTTATAATAACACACATAAGGAGATAATCTTTCCACAACACACTGCAAAATGTGAGGTTGCAGTTGATATCGTACATACTTTCCATTCTACTGTCTCTTGAGTACGTATCAAAGCATTGTATTTATTCCTTTGACATTCGTGCTTAAGCAAGTTTTAAAACATCACAAAGACTGTGAGAAATTTTCTCATTCATTTTGTAATAGTATGCTCGAATATTGCAGGCAACACTTTGATTTCATATCCTCATTTGAGGTTGTTTGCAGGTGTCATTTTCTAAGTAAGCAGAGAACAGGAATTCCAACTTACGAGTGGAAGTGCAATGGACTTTGCTATTTATTTGTCAATTAAAAGAATTTCCACAGTAAGTAGCATATGCACCTTATGAATGGTTGATAAAATTGTGGATAGTTTCTATTGCAAGATTTTTAGCAAATGCATTTGAATTTTCTATTCGTGAAATGCATAAAAATTGGAAATTAATTTTTTTTTTGTTACTGTGACTTTCTTACAGTGAAACAGATGCTGGCAAAAGATATAGGTAAATGTAGCAGGTTACCTGTACATACATTGCTTAAATCTGTAGAAAACTAATATCCAATATCTAGTATACACACACAAAAAGTGGTGAAATCAATATTGGATCAAGGCATAAAATCGTAGGAAAATACAAATGCAAATGGTCACCATATGTAGAAACATCGCTGGAGAAACAAACAACCTACACCCTGAGGTGGATTACTTTCCATGGTATCAAATGGTAACACTGCTTGTCCCTCCATAGAGGATGCACGAACTTCTGAGGGTTTCTGAGGCTTATGTGAAGACCTCCAAAAGTAGCTGTAAAAGCCTTTTGTACGAAAATACATTTCAACCATTACAGCTGCAATAATACTTTTATTAAGAATTCAATCACGACTTATTGTTTTTGTAGTAAAAATGCTATTACTACGGAACGGCTTGGGAGCCAAAATGTGTAATGTATTTCTTAATTTTTAATGTAGGCACGGCGAAAATTGAATTCAAATGTTTCTTTCAAATTTAAAACCACGATAACTGTTATATGAAATATAATTCACTCGTACTACGAGGACAGTGTTCTGAATTGTTTGCATAGATTGCAACCTGGAATTTCACTAGTTTCCATCCCTACATATTCTGTACAAATGGCTATACACTAACCCGTCCTTCCAATTGGAAAGATAAGACAATTAGTAATGTTTGTAGTTCATCACGAATTTTGCATACAATGGGCAATGTTGTATTTGCACCACGTTGATGAGTGAAATCGATCCTTAGTACCAGTTAGCTATGATCTAACTACCCCACTCAAATTAGCTTACAATAATGATATTGATTCCACATTGAACTGGTTTCACTAGAAATGGAAGTGAACAAAAGCAAATATCCATGTTAAAACCGCGAAAAAAAACTTGCATATGCCCTGAAACATAAAGTTGGATCATATTGAATAAGAGCGTGACCATGCTGAACGACATCACGTTAGAAATGATTATTAACGATTCTGTGAAGAACTCGCCTTACTGCTTACCGAAAACTCCACAGCCTTTCCAAAACCTTTGCCTATTATGTTCCATCATCCTTATTCCTTTCCCTATTGTTTCACTTCACTCTTTTCCTGTCGTTTCACTGAAGTTTCAACTTTTACTCTGTATTTATTGTGTGCTCAGTGAAATTGCTTTAATATGCTTCAATAAAATGCAAATGAATTCCACATGACAACGCTTCCAGCATGCATAGCTCCTTGAACTTTCAGTTTCTGACATGCTATCAGGAGGGTTATAGAGGAAAATAAGCTGAAAACTATGGATTATGGCTGCTTATGCACTACAAGAATTCATAGTTTAATGCGTTTTGTTGACTTACTCTGTAATTTAGTGTACTGTTTTAAAGAAAAACATCTGTCACTGTAATTTCAGAAATTGAAATATTGAAGTTAAAGATTGCTGGTAAGAAAACTGATTTATAAATGCTTATTGTTGCACCACATGTGTATGGCACTCATACTTATTTAATTATTCTGTAGTTCTATACATCTTTAGCACGTGTTACATTTATGAATGATCTAGTTGCAAATAGACTTAAGTGCATAAGATCTGAAGGAGACCATTTAGCCCATCAAATCTGCTCCGGTATTTAATAGGATCATGGATGATCTCATGACCCTGAACTCCACTTATTGCCTTCTGTCCATAATTCTTGCTTCCTTTAACGCTTGCAAAACAATCTACTTAAGATTTAAACATACATAAAATATCTATTCATAAAACTCAAAGTCTCCCGTGAAAAATCCATAGATACGTCACACTCTGAGATATAAAAGTCATCCTAATCTGTTTCTTCACGCATAATCACTTACTGTAAGATTATAAAACATGGTTCTGGCTCGTCCACAGGGGGAAATAACCACTAAAGATCTATACACTTAAGTCTGTACACTAAGAACATTATAAATTTTAATGATGTCGCCGCCTACTATTCTAAACTTCAATGCTGAAAATCCAATCTACTCAACATCTCAGAAAATAGAAATCAACGAATTTTCACTACCTTTTAAAAAGATAATTGATTTTTTTTCTTTTTAATTCTCAGTTCTCATTTTAACCCTATTTTGCTCGTGTACTTTGTTATTATCGTGGACGTTTTTCAATTTTATCCTTTCTATTTATTTCAGTAATAACCCTATTAAAGTGAGATTCCAAAATATAACGACTATAGAGTTAACTAAACAGTTACACTGTTGCTTTCTTAAACCCATTACTTCTAATGGTCTGAGCGGAGGTGACACTATAGCAGCAACGTGCCTGGACTCACTGTCCACAATCACAGGCATGTATTCTGAGAATAGAAAGCAGAAGGTTTTGAAGAAACTCCTCGGCATGTCTAGCAATATCTTTGGAGGGAACAACAAAGTTAAGGAAATGTGTCCATTTTGTACTTCTCAGAATTATCTTCTGAGAACAAGAGTTCAGATCCAACCAGAGAATATGCTGAAATGGCAATTCAATAACTTCTGGAATACAGAAATAATCTAATGGTGACCATTTAATCACTGCATATTTCCATTAAAGAAAATCTGGTTCACGAATATAATGTGAAGCAGGGCATGTACCATCTTCATCTTATCAGGTCTGCATATAAATCCAGCCCACAACAATGCATTTAATTGTAACTGGCATTGGGCAGATTGAGACAGACAAAACAATTTCTGGCTCATCAGTGAGAAAACTAATCCAATGAAATAATGAAGGGTAAATAATCGACCAACTTCTTTAAATAACCTTTAAAGACGATGCTACAAATGTCACATACTTGTGTAATTAGCAGAAGAGAACATTCATTCTGTGTCACTTTAATAATAGGTTGAATACAGCAGCATAATTTGTTCAGTGCTGTATTACTGCATTATTATGATAATTTATTTTTTTGTTAAAGTAGCTGGAATAGCTTTTTGTAACTACCAGAGATTTTTCTACTATCGAATATGCTTTGGATAGTTTCTTCTGAAATGAGGAAAATATTGCGATTTCTAAAGTTGTTGATTGTGGGTAAGAATTTTGCATATGGGATTCGGTAATGTGATCAAAACAAATCTCCAATTACAAGCAACTCATACCTCACTCTCTGACAGCACGAGAGGGAGAGAAAACAAAAAGTAAGCACGTGGGGTGGATGATGTCATGACTTCTGCCCAGGCATTGTAAAAAGCTGTATTTCTGGCATATAACATATCGAAACATTGCATTCCTTAACAAAGGGTCCTGTCACTGGAGACGTTATTACCGCCATTAACTTTTTTTTTAAGATTTTATTTTTGTTTTTTGTAAAGGCCTATGCTTAAAATAATCATCTCGTTCCTTGAATATATATTTTTATGGCCTGAATTAGTTTACAATTCTAATATCCCAAATATTATCCACGATTTTCATAGTAACCCAATGTATTTGGAAATACACATTAAGAATTCCATAAGAAAACTATTCCAAATATTTGGTACACGGGCAATCTCCAGGTCAGGATTCCTGATTGGACTAAGTAGCAGCTAAAAAAAGATTCTGTTGCACTACTACTTTAAGTACAACATTCCCATGGAGAAATGAAGAGTATCTGTGTTCCATAGGCATCCAAAGCCTCACAACCAACCTGCGTTACATGCTCAATATTATGTGACCCATCTGAAACTGTGTCAGTAAAATACAGGTGTCACTAAACAAACAAGTGTCATATCTGATTTGATCAGAAATGACGCTTCATTTTTTTTCAGATAGGACATACGGGTGGATTTCCCATTGCTGATGGGCCATCTTTGCTTCGTGAAAATAGTTCGTGACACAGTTTCGATGAAGTTCAATCTAACTATTTCTCAATGTGTTGTAATTTGACCTTGAATGATCTATCATCTTGCTGACTCGAATGAAAGAATATATTGAAAATACGAGTCTGTAGGTGTTACCATGGTGTACGGTGAGGAAATGTCTGCTGATTAGTACATATAACCCAAACTTGGCTTATGAATCAGTACACCTTCATGATCATAACCATTTGGAAGAAACAGTGAGCACAAAGTTGACTGAGCAGCAAACATCAACGTCCATCACCAATTTCGGTTACACAAGTACTCAGTAGAACATGAAGAATGAAAGCTATACTAGGATATGCTCTCATCAAAATTGGTGTAGCTGAAGTATCCCGCCTTGACACATTTCAAATCTTATATTAAGGACAGTATCCAACTTGCAGCATTACAGTGTTGTTATGATCATTAGAACATAATTCGAGTTTATCCAACAATTTTTGACCATTCGTGGCGTTCTGAAGGCCATATAGATGAAAAATTGCATTCACACACACCTGTAACCCCTTTGGCTGAATTGTATATCTGCCCTCCACTACTATCAATGCAATCCGGCAGGGACACGGTTCGTGACTGTGGGCGCTTCAACTAACATTCTGTATGAGACGGGAGCCCAGTAAATCAGGACGAAAGACAAATTTGAAACATTTAATCCATCCACAGTCCTAAGAGCAGAATATTTATCCATATCTGCAGGCTTTGGAGGTCACTGGGGTCACAAATATCAGTCTTCATCAAAAATGTTCCAAATTGTATCAGCGAACAACGTAACAGATAATGAACTATAATAAACTATAAAGCGTCCCTGTTTTCACAACATTTCTAACATTGTAGTTGTGCTTCAAATCTAATGGCACCACTTGCTTTCAACATCATCCAATATCGCCAATAGCTATTACATAAACCATCAATATCAGCAACCCTGGTGATCACCGTTCACCAAAAACGGAGCAGAACTAGAAATATAGATTGTGTAGTTAGAACAGCAGTTCAGAGGCCAGGGACTCAGTTGTGAGAAACTCATCTGTTGGTCATCGTTTTCCGTCAACTATCTACGTGGAGCAACTCTGTAGTGGAATGGAATACTCTTTCTATGCTTGTTTTTGTGCAGTTCCAAACTATGGAAAGGCTGACAATATCTAGCACAAAGTGTCATTTGATTGGAACTTTATCCATTACTTTCTGCATGCAGTCCATGAAACACTAATGCACAGTAACTGCAGTGCAGATCGTCTATAAGATGCACTGCAGCGGTGCACCAAGGCTCAACAAACTGCACCTTCCAAACTTGTGACCTGTACCAACGAGAAATATAACACGAGAAGATGCTTCATACACTTCCCAACTGCACGTTCATTTCTACGACACCCACCATCACTTTCACGAGTTCATTATTCTCGAACTTCATTCTTGCAGACTGTGTTATCTATCTACATCATAAGGGCAGTAGCAATTGAAGAATGAACTAAATCAGATTCTTCCCATACACAATATGGATGACAAAGAAATGTAGGCTTGTTGCGAAGAAATCCAACGACTTTCATATCCAATTGATGAATATAAAAAAAATTCGAAGTATTTTAATCAGCGCATTGGAGAATCCAGTTATCTTTCTATTCAATTATTAGATCGTTAATCATCCCCCAAAGCCTTCCTTTCACTGGCATAAACTGGAAGATTGTTTTGCGTGACGCCTAATCCATTATGAAAGCGCTTTCCTGGGTCATCAATTTATGGATGGAATGTAAACAAGGATAACCTTGTTTACAGGCAGGAACACTACAAGCTTCGACACCACACTGCCTCAGACAAAATAAAGAACAAACTTTACAACCAGGCAGGGATATGGAAAACTGAAGGCCTGGTCGTCTAAATGCAATATTCCAGTAAGCCAAATATTTGTTTTTTTTTCATGTATCACGGGATTGTTCTTCGGTCTTGTCCTAAATCATCCACTGATAACTTGAATCCATTTTTTCGAAGTTGTTATTAGAGAAATATTCGTGCAAGGAGACGTGGGAATTGTCAAAATTTAGGGTCTGTTTATTACAAGATAACGTGTAAATGTAATTTACATTTCACAGATGGCAAAACACCTTCAGGTAAGTTGCAATGGCTTACAATTTCTTGCTGAGTTTTCCTGTAGTTTAGTTTATGAAATGTTACTGTTAATTTCAATTGGGCTACTTTACGCAGCTGCACCTTTCTGCTTTTACTGAACTTTTTGAACAATGGTGATCTACACTCCGTGAATCTTAAATAATTGATTATATTCGTTGAACAAGTGTCATAACATTTAACTCCAATTTATGTTTACACCTTATAAAACGTTATTAGGGCATTTGTTCCTGGCCAAAATAGTTACAACTGAAGAGCATTTTGCAAGCTTAAAAAAATACATAAGATATTTACTCCATATCTCTGATCCTCAGTTTAATTTCAATAAAAAGTAACTTGCACGATGTCCTGCATTCTTCGCCAATTTTATTATGAACACTCGTTCATTTAATTCTGCTATATGCTTCGTTTATTAGGCAACGCAGGAAATCACTCTATGATTTCCTGTGACGTTGGCGAGCACTTGTTTCTTGCAGC